ATATACGGTCACCGGTTAGTTTTTTGTTTGATTAATGCTATTATGCAGTATAAATGACCTTAATAATTACCAGTTTACTTGAAATATTTCATTATGTGCACTGTGTTCTTAGCAACTTAACAAAATGTCAAATGTTAAGTGTATTACAGGAGGAGGCAGGTTTTTAATTGAGTCACAAATAACTGTACATAAGGTAAATGATGAGAAGTTAAGACTTAAATAGCAGGTGTTGGCATCCTGTGGAATAAGTATTTTATAGACTATTTGCATTTAGAATCACCGGGCAGATTTGTGGAAAAAGACTCCCAAGCCCCACTGAAAACCTACTGCATCAGTCTATGCAGATGAGGCTCTGCATTTTTCACAATCGTCCAGGTGATTCTAATCACATTTAAAACTTGAAAACCACTGCTCTAGGACTAGGGGCAGAACGAGATGCCATATTTTGAAGTTGGAATGCTCTAAATGTAAACATGTTCCCAAGGAGAATGTTAACAAATGTTAAAAATTCATCATGTTTTATCTTCTCTGTTGGATTACACTAAACTCTGAATAAAGGCATGTGTCTTTTTGTGATTAATTAATTAACTGGTTGACTAGCTCATTTATGCATTCATTTAACAAGTTATTGGGTATCATTTATGAGCTTGGCACTATCCTGATGTGGACCTTCTCTTGTTATGGATAAGACAGCAATTAAAAGGTTTCAAAGATATTCCTCACCATATTTTTTACTTGAAAGATGTTCACTAGTTCTCCCTTGGATATTGTTGCTCTTCAGAATAAAGTAAAGATATGACTGAAAACCTTAGTCCTTTCCAGTACCTACAGATTTTAACAATTTCTTAAAATAATCACTGAAAATAAAACTGCTGCCTGGAAATTACAAAAAGGTATCCCAAAGTCACAAAATGGAATTTTAAAAGCCTCATTTCAGTGACCAATATTTAAGAGATTTGCTCCTCTTTAGAGAATACCATAAATACTGAATTTTACAGTATAGAAAGTACACAGCTACAGTCTCCTAAAAGGTATCCAACAAACAATGGATAATAGGGATACTGATACAAAGTTTATGTGTGTGTTTTACATCTATATATTTAATAAAATGTGTAATATGTATTTGTATATTGAAATTAATGCAATATATTTAAATAGATTTATCTATTTAAATATAATATTTAAATAAAATTTTCAATAGCTTATAGCTGGCATGAAGAGCACAAAGACAACCTAAATATCCCTTAGAACGTTCTAACTGGAGGTGATCTTATGGATTATCTCGTTCAATCCCCTGATCTTATATGTATGGCATATGAAGCTCAGAAAAGATGAGAAACTTGACCCAAGGCTGCTCACCTAAATTAGCAAAATCGCTCTTCTTGGGTTCCTGTTGTTGGATTTAACATTTTTTGTAGCCTCACATCGGGTGCTGTAAATATGTGTCAGTTCTTCCAAACAGAAGAACTAGAACGCTGATAATCTATGGTATTTTGAATTTCCTTATGGTCTAACAATGTGAAGCAAAAAGAGAGAAAGAAGTGGCAAGAACAGCTGGCAGATATTGAAACTAATGTAAGCTTTTTTTTCACCTTAAAAGGAACTCAAAATTCAAACATGTACTTCAGAGTTCCACGGGGAAAAACTATAGATTTAAACCCAAATAACTAAGCATGTGGCCAATCGGCAAGTAAGTGTGCGCACTTACTGCCACATCATTTAGATCCTTGTGTGCCGTGCACTTGGCGCGAGGGGAAATAAGCGGGAGAGGGGCGTGTCTAAAATCTCAGTGCCGAGCAGAAAGCCACGCCCCTGAACCTCACGGGGCAATACGCTAACAGATTGTAACTGTGACGCTGGAGCAGATCCTCTTAGCCAGAAGAAGATAGGAAGCTGCCCTCCCACCGTCCTGCATTTAGATAAGAGGAATTCAGGTTGAGAGGAAATGAGAGTCATGTAGCAGTAGCCACTTGTGAGTCCAGCAACAGAAGAAAATACACAAGGTAGCTTCTCACAAAAAAAAAAAAAGAAAAGAAAAGAAAAGAAAAAAGAAAGAAAGAAAGAAAGAAGACAGAAACCCCAAACCAATGATAAAAGTCATCATTTTAATTAAACACTATATAAAATACAACCGATTACGGACTACCTAAAACTGTGGGAGGATTAGTTTATAAGAGTTCTGACCACACAGCTCAGCCTTTAAAAAGATTTCAATAGAGATTTTTAAGTTTCCTAAATATCATCTCCTCCTAATAACTAATTCATTAATGTTCATCCCGGATTGCCTACTGGGTTCCCTTCAATCCACAATTATGCATTAGGAACCCAGGGTATGATTCGGAAAGATCGGGGCAGGAGGAAGGTGATTCATATGTTAAGCATCCAGTAATTTTTAAATATTTACAATTTCCTAGATTTCCTCCTAATTTATCCACAAACAGCATCAGTTTACTAGTGAGCAAGTGCAACTGCACAGTGACAAACCACCCACAAGGCAAAGTGTATCTCTAGCACTCAGCGGTCCTTGGACCACAGGGGGTGTGCAACCAGGTCCCAAAGTCCTTTCTGAATTCTCCGTATGGTCCTCTCTTCATTAGCAGCTTTTTTCAAAATATTCATGAAAGGTAAGAACTAAGTCTAAACAAACAAACAACTCTAAAGAATATACAGGAGCCAGAATCTCTTGCTTACTCTCTGTACTATCACCTGTATGGGAATGAGTTATACAATGTTTAAAAATGGAGTTCTACTTCATACCCAACTGGAACAAAGATCCTTTCTATGACTCATAGAACATATGGCACATAGTTGTGCCCCAACTTTCCCCCTAAATTTATTGCCCTGTAAGATGGAGTTAATGATAATATCTTCCTCAGGAGACTGTTTTGAAGGTGAACTATGTGATGCATGTGATGGGTTGATGCCGCGTTTGGTAGATAGTAAATACCCCATAAATACCAACTATGGTTACTACCGTCAAAAAAAGTGGTGGCAGTTATAACTACGCTGAAATCTGAGATCCTCTCTGCAGTGCATGTAGTGAAACCCCATAAACAAGAAATTGGTGCTTATTAAATGAATTCCTGCTCCACTGGTAAATTATTAGTGTCAATTATGTTCACATTAACAGCCTTATTTTGCCTCTTTCTCAGTAATTAACAACACTCAAAACTTCTCAGCCCTAAGTATTGCCTCATCCTAACCAGGGAAAAGAAGAAAGAATCATTTTGTTTCTTAGTTGGACAAGAATGCCAGGCTTTAGAGCTTCACTGTACAGGGATGTTGCCATTTTTTTTCTTCATCTAGAGCTTACCAAATCCATTAATTTATAGCCATGCTGAAATTCTGAACAACCACTTCAATATAAGAATTACATCCTTCATTTCTTTCTCATGCTGCAATAGCACAGCACATATATCTGATCATCCTTGACTCTGAGACTTAGAGCATGATGCAATTTCCAATTTAAAAACTTTTTTATCAGAGCACACTTCACAAGCGAAGCTGCCTTGCTATTCCAACCAAAGTACAGTGAGGTCTGTGAGGAAACTTGCAGTAATAAATTTTAAAATGCTTGATACCTAGTCACTGAGCAAATCGTCGTGAGAACAAGTGTCAGGGGAGGAAGAGAATTTATTCTTAATAGACGTAACACCAACGATGAACATTTAGGGAACATGTTGCTGGGTGCCAGACACTGGCCTAACTCTTTGAGGAAAATGCCATTATTACGTCCACTTTAAGGATGAGGAACCTGAGACATAATGAGGTGAAGAGGCAATCTGACCCCAGGGTTCAAGTTCTTATCCACTGTCATACATAGGGATGCAGTGGCTTTTATACACATTCCATTTGTTAAACACAGCATACCTCAATTCTCGCAAAATGCTCCAAACACTAAACCAAAATCTCTGCTTCGATTTTTTTTTAACTTTTATGGCCACGGAAGAAGCAAACAAACAGCACACTTCGAAAATCAGAATGGAGTCCATAAAGAAACCAAGATCTATAAAGAACTTCTCTAACTCAAAACCCAAAAACCAAATAATCAAGTCAAAAAATGGGCAGAAGATATGAAAAGACACTTCTCTGAAGAAGATATACAAATGGCTAACAGACACATGAAAAAATGTTCATCATCATTAGCCATCAGGGAAATTCAAATCAAAACCACATTGAGATACCACCTTACACCAGTTAGAATGGCAAAAATGGACAGGGCAAGAAACAACAAATGTTGGAGAGGTTGTGGAGCAAGGGGAACCCTCTTACACTGTTGGTGGGAATGCAAGTTGGTACAGCCACTTTGGAAAACAGTGTGGAGGTGCCTCAAAAAATTAAAAATAGAGCTACCCTATGACCCAGCAAGTGCACTCCTGGGTATTTACCCCAAAGACACAGATGTAGTGAAAAGAAGGGCCATATGCACCCCAATATTCATAGCAGCAATGTCCGCAATAGCCAAACTGTGGAAAGAGCCGAGATGCCCTTCAACAGATGAATGGATAAAGATGTGGTCCATATATGCAATGGAATATTACTCGGCCATCAGAAAGGATGAATACCCAACTTTTACATCAACATGGATGGGACTGGAGGAGATTATGCTAAGTGAAACAAGTCAAGCAGAGAAAGTCAATTTTCATATGATTTCACTTATTTGTGCAACATAAGGAATAGCATGGAGGACATTAGGAGAAGGAAGGGAAAAATGAAGGGGGGAGGAATCAGAGGGAGAGACGAACCACGAGAGACTATGGACTCTGAGAAACAAACTGAGGGTTCTAGAGGGGAGGGGGGAGGGGGGATGGGTTAGCCCAGTGATGGGTATTAAAGAGGGCACATATTGAATGGAGCACTGGGTGTTATACGTGAACAATGAATCACGGAACACTACATCAAAAACTAATGATGTAATGTATGGTGATTAACATAACATAATAAAATTTAAAAAAATAATAATAAAAAAAAGAAAAAAGAAACCAACTAATCATTCCTACCTCAAGTCTGTCTGTCCGCATTAATTTCTGTGCAGCAGCTGCAGCAGCCGCAGGTACAGGGACCCCAGGATTCCCTGTAACCAGCATTGGTGCGGTCGGCAAGATCTCTGCTGGAACCAGGCTCGGGGACACAGGTCCCAGGTAGGGATTAAAGGCTGCTGATGCATTGGTGGCTAAGCTTGGTGCAACTGAAAACATTGGCTGAAAAAGAAAATAAAAAGCAAAATTTAATCTATAGGTCTTGGCCTGAATTTGATATCCCACATTATATATAGATCCTTCATCCATCCACCCATCCATAATCCATTCTTCCTTCCCTCTCCTCCCTCCTTTCATTTAATTCTGTTTCTTTACTCCCACTAGGGATAAGAATGTTTCTTAAATAAGCAGTCATCCAGTCAATGTTTTTCTAAAATATAATAGGTGATTAACCCATTAAATTTCTGCTGGGATTTTGAAACTTGGGTGTCTATAATACTTGCAATTTCTTTTTGAATAATAGATCAGTTATTCAATACAGTAACTTCTTGTGGTCACCTCATCTTCATTTTTGTCCTGATTTAATCCTAGAAACTTGTCTAAGAAATGCATTTTATAATTGCTATGTCAGATGAACTTGACAGATCTGTTTACAACTGTTAATGGGTTGCAAGTATCCTATTATCTGGAATAAATAAAGCAGAACTCCCAGTGGATAACAAAGTTTCACAGTCAATATAAACTGTGAATAAATCTCATGGGATATGTGAAAGATGATGATGACACAATTTCTTTTGAACACATAAGGTAAAGTATTTGGCATATTCACTTGTTGCATGTTTTTCTGGAGAAACTATAAATATTCCACCAGCTTATCACACACTTGTGAAATATTTAACAAAGAATTTACCTTACTAGGGAGAAACCATTCTGAATGTGAACTCTGAAACGGAAAGCTAAACAAATGCTACATTTTTCAAGGAAATACACAAGGTAGCACTGACTAAAATATCACAAGATATAATTTCTGCCAGAAATGCTTTCATGGATATAGGAGGGTGGTTTCTATTTGTGATATGATGATTTGCATATCAGGAAATATATCTGTTCTTGAGTAGAATCAAATAATTTACCTGAAAGCTACTTTAGCGATTTGGCTTTTCCAGTTTTGAAAGCATAATGTAGCACAACAATTTTCCACCTTATGGGTGGTGTATTTTTAACTTCCTGATTCAATGGGGTTTCAATTCTTGAAGTTTAATATTTTGTGTAATAATAATGTTTGTCTCCAAAACTCAGAAACTCATGGACAAAATGGATCCTGTTCTTCAAAGGACTTCTTAACAATTAATTTTCTTTACCCTACGGTAAGGAACAGAATCGCAGAAACTTTTTTAGAATGAAGGGAACGTTAGAATGTAGCTAATTCTTCCCTCTTAGAGAAATAAGAAGTTAGATGAACACTGAGTTTACACAGAATTCAAGAGCACTTTGGAATAAAGTTCTATGCAATTGAGATGTAAAAGTAATTCTTATAGCTCAAAAGAAATGTTTTTAAAAAATAAAATATGTCCTTATTTAGTCTGGCCCTGACTTGTCCTGTATTTAGAAGAGTACAATGGAATTCAAGTGTTCTTTTTCTTGGGGCTTCTCAAGTGGTTCTCAAGTATGTACGGGTGATTTTGCCTTGTAGGGCACATTTGGCAATGTCTGGAGACATTTCTGATTATCACAGCCTGGGGGTGCTGTTGCATCTAATGAGTAGAGGCCAGGGATGCTGCTAAGTGGCCTGCAACACACAGGACAGCCCCTCACACCAAAGAATTATCCAGCCCCAAATGTCAATAGTGTTTAGGTTGAAAATCCCTGTCCTAAGGGATGCACTCGTCTTTGACTTCACAAACTGTTTTAGGACAAAATCTTTGCAGCTAGTGTATCCATTCTTACTAAGGAGACCATGGAAAATAGAATATTTCATACATAATTTGATTCACTTGGGAGAAGAAACAGTAACACCGTACATTCCACTGAGATTTTCAAGTTATAATTATGCCTCCCGACATGCTGGTTTGAATGCCATGGTTAGCTACCCTGCCAGGTCAATGGCTCCTGCCTGATGAAGTGGCCTCAAGTAATACCTCTGATCCACACCCCCATCCCTGCCCAAAACACTGACAACCGGAAACTACCCGAGCGCTCCAGATATAAACAATCCATAATCGGTCAGAAACTGGGGCCCAGAGCAATCTCTGTCCATCAACAGTTACTTGAATAGCAGCTGACCTTATGCTGCCCCACTGTGTAATGGCTGCTAAGGCATTACCATAGCAAGGGTTGACCTGTACGGTGAATCCATGTTGAACTTGGACTTCTATTCATAAATATTCAGGTCGAACATATACTGTTACATTCTGTCAGATATAATATGTGCAATTCCAACCAGACCAGCACTCTAATTTTCTATATTAGGTATTTAAAAACTGTAAGAAATTTAGCATAAAAGACCGGAAGACCAGTTTAAAATATGGCGAACACAGCCAGTCTGTATCATTCCTCTTCATATCCTATTGCTATGAATTAACATGGATTTCCAGGTAGTGGATTTTTAATGTATACTCTGGAAATGTACTGAGATGTTTATGTCATTGTACATTATTTAGAAGCAGAGGTCAAATTTACAAACGTATTTGGAGGCAAGAAAATCATTCTTTTTTTTTTTTTTCCTAAGGAAAGCATTCTTATTTTAAGAAAGTAAGACCAGTGACCAATAAAATGCAGCTCTGTTAAATCTCAGTGAATAAACTTATAATCCATGATGCATATAATGCAGCAGTTGCATGTCACAGATAAAAGAATACTTCTCCTAAGTAAAAATATTGATCTCACTAACTGGCAACAATTTTCCTGCTGGATTGTTTCTACAGAGGTGTCACGTGAATTGATTTTCTGAATTAATGCAGCAGAACAAATTCAAATCCGAAAAATTTTAGGGCACTGTCCCCAAGTAAAATCTAGCAGCTTGAAAAATCTGAAACATCAACTATTCAGCAAACATTCTCTCCAATTGTTCTCTCTCCAGATAAGTGAAGCTATTTGCTAAACCAGCAGAGGATCAATAATAATAGCTCTAATACTTTGAAACTTGATTCCAAAAGCTGCTCCCAGAAAGTGCAACATTCCTTCATTTACAGGTTTTGTAAATTTGTTACATTCCTTTTTCAAAGAGCACCTTGTTGGAGGTAGGTTACCGCGTGGCCCCATCAGTGCCCTAATCGGATTAGAGAGGCGCTTGAACTTCTGCGCTGCCAAGTCTCCTTTCCGAAAGCCATCCTGCAGAGGGTTTCGGCAGAATCGCAAGGACGGACATTAATGCTATAGTATTATCAAGTGCATCCTATTTTCTCTGAGGTATCCAGAGGATAACATATAACTATGTATTTGGCATATCTGATACTGACTACATCCTTGTAATAACGATTTACAGATATCTTTGTTCCTGGAAGGCATAAGGAAGGTTGGCTTATGATTGCCTTTTGCCAGTGAACACCCTCAGCAGAGAAAAACAAATTGCAACCTTACTAATGCTGGTGCATTTATGGGCTAATCACTTCTTTGTTGTAAATTAGACATTTGATTCCATTATAGTAATCAGGCTTTATTAGAAATTAAAATGATATTCAATTTCACATGACCCTAGTTAAATGTGTGCAAACATGATTATTACTATAATTCCTTCTATTTATTGTGTGCCAGGCATTGTGCTAAGTGCTTTACCTATGTTACTATATTTAACGCACATAAGAGTAAAATGTAAACTCCATGGGCAAATAAGGCCAAAAACTCCATTGTTTCTGTTTTGAGTTGGGGGGCGGATACTGCTAAATCCCCAAGATCTAGCTTGATGCCTAGCACATAGTCAGTACTCAATAAATATACACTGAGTAAGTGAGTGAATGAAGGAACGTGTGGATGAATTACAGTCTTGTCGGGTGGGTTTTATTAGTCCCTCCCATTTTGCCGACAAGGTAAAGGGCTCACATAGATTATGTAGCCATCATCACAAAGGAGAGCATGAAAGAATTAGGATCTGGACACAGGTGTGTCTGGTTCCAGGTGATCCTGAAACCAGTGATTCTCGGGCCATTAGAATCCTCTGGAGAACTTCAACCCCTGAACGCCCTGGCCCTCCCCCCTCATCACAATCCCGTCAGTACTATTTAAAAATCTCCTGGGACATTCCCCTTCTATACATTGCGTGGTCTTCTACTATTGAAAAACAGAAACAGGTTCCGATTTCGGATTGTATGTGAGGTCTCCAAGGAGACATGTCTCCTCACAACTTTCTTCTCAACAATGCTTTTCCCTCTAAATGGAAGGTTGTTCCTGCCCAGCCCTCCTGTTTAATTCTAATCACGCTTCAAGAATCACGACTCTTTCTCTTCAAGTTTCCCCTGATCCGCCCACATCTCCAACTATGAAGAGATTTTTTTCCTACCCTCTGTTACCATAGAACTCCTCACCACTCGAATTTGGCATTGATCACCACATGTGTTTACTTAACCCTCTCTCCTCCTCAAACTAGACTGCAGGCATCCAAGTGCGTCTTCTGCACGCTTCCTTCACCCTGCATGGAGTCTGCGGCTGCCATCCACACAGCCCCTCTGCACATACTTCCTTCATGGCGGTATTAATGCATTTGCTGTGTTTCCCCAGCACACAAACTCACTAGCAAATGCATTAAATATTTTCTAGTATAGCTATGTGGACATTAAAAAAAAAGTGATTTAATGTTACTTCCTTTCCACTTGACAATGTAATCATTAATTGATCTAGGATGCTTGTTTGAAAAGTCTAATTTCTTTCAGTTTTGTTTTGCGGTTTTTTTTAATACTGAGCTTTCTAAGTTTCAGTACTGTGGTATTACCATGCTGTAATGTTGCAAATATCATAGGGGCCCTAACTTATTTTAATACATTATGTGAAACGGTGTTTGTGATTTAAAAAAAAATGGATGGAGTATATATGATAAATAGTATCTAATCAGTATTTGATACGATTTATGGAATACAATTTTTTCAGATTTTTCTAGATTTTACCTTTGTGCATGTGTGTGCGTGTTTGTAAAGGTTGAACCTGCAAGTAGTAAAAAAAATAAAGCTTTTTTGTTCCTTGACAGCACATAATCAAGGTGCAAAAAGCCATGTTTCTGGGTATACACAACCCTGTACAGGAGCGAGAGGTCCCTGTAAACAGTTATTTTGAATATTAAACAGTCAAAGGTTAATGGGCGTTCCCAACAAATTCACATTACAATCTCTTTTTTTTCCCCTAGGAGTGTAGCATATGACTCTAATAAAATAAGAAATAACTGTTTTAAAGTCTGCTTCTAGACCGACTTGTTGACTGGGCAAATCACAATGACCACCTGGCTTTATTTTTAATCTCACCTTACCACTTCAATCTAGCTTTACTGAAGTACCAAACATTTACATAAAGAAGACTCACTTCTGGCCCAGCGAGTAAAAAGGTATCAACACATATGGCCCGGTCCCTAAGATTCGGGCCTGTCTGCAAGCTGCTCGAGGAAGCGCCGGCCAGCTCCTGGACTGAAACAGGCACTAGATGGAGCATGGATGACGGCCATGGCGGCCGCATTTTACCGGAAGCGCTTTCTCACGAAGTGGCCTTATCTCAATCACTAGGTTGGGAAACCTGGAGGGTAAAAGCACTAAAAACCAATTTAAGAATTCTAGGTGTTCCTGGAAATGTGACACACGGTGACTTCAAAGCTTTCGGCACTCAGCCGCCAACAACCGTGAGGTGGGAACGCCAGGACAGCCAAGGTGAGGCGACGGGGACAGCAAGAGAGCTCCCAAGACTTTTTAGCTAAGTCCAGTAACTTTGCATTCCTTTATCCCTAGGCTACTTCAAATTCATGAAATGCACAGGAATTCAACTTGAGTTATGTACCTCAAGGCAGCGCTAGGTGTGTGTGCACCTTAAGGGGAGCTGCCCTCAGACATTACCGATGGCCAAAGCTAAGCTTTGGGAGAGCAGGGAAAAGGCACAGGAGTGGAGTGGAAGTGCAGAGCTCAGACACAGCTCCTCATAATCGTTCCTTATGCAGAGCTCTTCAAGGGCAATGACAAAAGCCTGGAATCGACGGAACTGCTGAAGACATCTTTCTGGGATGGATCAAAGAAATACACCAGATGCTTCCAAGTTGTGAGCCACAAGATACGGTCTATATTTGGTTAGGTTGCTTAGTTTTCTGGTTGGATTATCTCTGCATCAGAGAGTACATAGCAATGTAATAAATTTTTTCTTATGTAGTACTTAGAAAAAAAATCCAAATATTTAATTTTTTACATTTGGATAATCAAATACTATAGGTCTTCCATTTCTCTTCAAAGATCACATAATAAAGAGAAATACGATCTTTTTACATTTTTCTTAGGGGCTTAGAAATGATAATAGAATTAATGCCAGTTACTTAATAATTTCTTATGCAAATTTTAGGGAGTCGACACACAGGTAAACTCAATTACTTATTTTCAACCACCTATTTTATCACCTTATGAAATAGAAATAATTATGAAATTGTTAGGAACTTGCAAATAATAATATATTTGAAACTTATCACTATATGTTAATGAAGGTCAGAGATTTTAAATGAATCAACCAAGGACCCAAAGCTGGTTGGTGGCGTATCTCCAATTAGTGTTTCTACAGCCTGGATGCTAGCACCTGAACAGCTTGAGTTAAAATCCTGGCCCTACTAAGCACTAGCTATGTACCTTGGGCAAATTACTTAACCTTTCCAAACCTCTTGTGTCTTTAGGAGGGTTGCTGGAGTGGTGGGGGGTGGGAGGGATGGGGTGGCTGGGTGATAGACATTGGGGAGGGTATGTGCTATGGTGAACGCTGTGAATTGTGCAAGACTGTTGAATCACAGACCTGTACCTCTGAAACAAATAATACATTATATGTTAAAAAAAAAAAAAGATAGTAGGAAGGGAAAAATGAAGGGGGGGAAATCGGAGGGGGAGACAAACCATGAGACTAAGGACTCTGAGAAACAAACTGAGGGTTCTAGAGGGGAGGGGTGTGGGGGAATGGGTTAGCCTGGTGACAGGTATTAAAGAGGGCACGTACTGAATGGAGAACTGGGTGTTATACGCAAACAATGTATCATGAACACTACATCAAAAACTAATGATGTAATGTATGGTGATTAACATAATAAAAAAAATAAATCTCTAAAGTTGAGATAATATCATCTACTTTATAGGACGGTTGTGAGGATTTATGATACAAAAAGTAGTGAGTGCAGTAAATGCCCTTAGCGTGTTGTATCTGCCCCCCAAATGGAAGTCCTCTTTCTGCCTCTTGGCTTGGTGCATTTCATAACAACAGAATAATGTATACGAAAACAGGAAGCTCTCCTATAAACCCTTGCATTCCCCAAGTCACCTCAGTGTCATCTTCTCAAGACCTTAAATTGAGAGACTCAGTCTCTCAAAATTTCTGAAAAGATGAAAACCCAACCGAATGGCATAGCAGCTACTGCCTGTTCTCACCGGTACCCTCATCGAGCCCCAGGCTGCCCCTGCTAATAGTGTGCTAGTATATGTCCAGCCGTAGGCCCCATTCCCATTCTATGCTGTGGTCTCTAGGATGGGGCTTGTACTCTGGTTCCTGCTGCCGATTCCTTTGGAATCACAGGGCCAGGTAAACTACCACAAACCTCTGCCTGTCTTCCTTGTATCCAGGAAACTCCTTACTTCATTCTTTGACTCATCAAGTAATTTTTGATCTCGCTATATGCCAGGCACAATAGGAGAAGCTTCCAGATTTGATCAGAACTTCCCTGCTCCTTCTACCTCTTCGTGTTCCCTCAGCTACAATTTTAGGGGCCAAACTGGTTTGCCCTAAAAAAATTAAGAGGCTTCACCTACTTGACTACAAACCCTGAAACTGCTCAGATACTCCTACCACGCCTGATATTATGGATCTACTCACAGTATCACCTCCTTCGACAGAACCCCTACCTGGGCTGGATTCAAACGTGTGCTGTGTCTTTGAACACTAACATCTATACTAGCGTCCATGCTCTTTGAGTGGCAACCATGTTGTGTGTCAATCACCTGGCGGCTTCCAGCCCTGTTATAATCCCTATTTGTTGACCCAGCATTCAAGTTCCAGTAAGCAGCTGGTTATGACCGTCTCATTTATTTCTGAATCTCTGTATGATTACTCTCATCAGCAGGGCTGACTACACAAAGGATCGAAAAGTCTCAGGTGGGATCCTGAAGACAAATTTCCTGGATTAAAGCCTCAAATGTTTTAAAATTGAATAATTAAAATGACTTCTATACTTATTACAAAAATGTCACCCTGAACAGAGTATATTTTTAGACTATGATCTCAGGATGCCTTTAGTAGAAGGGTAATTCTGCATTCAAATCTAGTCATACCAGGGAAAATTAACATAAAGCCCGAATGTGCTCACAACTAATAAAAATAAATGTTTTGTCTAAGTAGAGAATTTTCCAACAAAAACACCAGGACATGTGATTTGTCTGCTGGTTTCAGAAATTGTGATTTCGTGATTTCATGCACACCACAAATTTGTTACTGTATTTTACAGACATGAGCATAAATGTTGTTTACGGTCTGTCCCAGGATTACCCCTATGATGACCCTGGAATGGCCTTGAGAGTAAAGCTCAAGGACTAAGTCAGGAGATGGGCCAAGACTTCACAGTGAGGAGCTCAATGCCACGTGACCAGCACTGGTTCTGGCAGTATAGGAATTACACCTGCTGACCTCAGAGGTGCTTCCGGTCACTGAGAGGGTAGAGCCTGACGGTTAGCAGCCTTTAAATGTTTAAGTGGAACAAAGTATCTTACATCAAGGAGAAATCTTATATCAGCCAAAGTAGTAGCCACCCCAAGGATTTATCAGATCTCTCTGAAACTGCGTGAGAGGGCCAGCTGTGAAAGACACATCTTGTCCTGTATTTTATGCTAGCGAGAATGCTTATAACTGTTTTTTTTAACCACATGGAAATCTTCATGCTATCCCAATGCAGATATAATACTAGCAAATGCCACACAAATAAATTTAAGATATCATATTTTTAACTGAGCCCCCAATAATGGAAAAAAATATATCAAGTTAAAACAGACACAGAATTATAATATTCTCTCACCTCAACTGTATAGTACTGATAATTGGTATCACTGCCGATGTGATATGGAGATCCCTCCCACCTCGAAATGCAATCCCCCCCTCTTTTTTGGAATGATTGGTGCATTAAGTTCTAAGAGAGAATAATAATTACATTGAGTTCAGGTGTTAAAATGTATTAGGAAAAAAATTAGTTAGCACACATGCTACAGTCAGCATATCAGAAAAATATGGGTCTTCACATTCCCACAACCCCATAATAGTGCATATAAGTTACTGACATAAATTACTGACAGATATATTCTGATCATTACAAATTTTAACATGCATTTAAATATGTAATTACTATATCACAATTAACATCAGAATAACCTTTTGTAATCTAAAATTACTTATGATAGTAATCTTACATTTTTATGAATAAATGTGACTAAAGGTTATTAAAGTCATTTATCATATACACTCCCCCAAACTCCAAATAAATAAATAAATATATGTGCTCAGAATCAAAAGTTATTCACATACACTGCTCAGTAAACATTAAGTCTCTATGACCACCTACAGTTTAAAGTATTTAGCTCTTTGCTTAAAAGCCCTGGGAGTTTCTGCCTCTCCTGATTAGTTCTCTTTTAATGCATGATATTGACTCACCACTGTCAGAATTTTGCTAGCATTTCTAACTGCAAAATAATTTCACTTTGAGTTTGAAAGAATAACAAAGGCTCCTTTTCAATAAAGAAAATGATGCAAACAGATTCTCTTCAAGGAAGCAGGAAAGGGAAAATTTTTCTCAAAACTAAAGATGATCTATACCACATTTTAAAAATATTATTACCATTAAAGGAGTCTGAAAATGCACATGGACTATATTGATCAGTTTGATGACCATTTTAACTCCTGCAAATCATAGGATTTCATGTGAAGAGAATTTTAGGGGGAAAACATGCCATAAGTAAATTTCCACATGATTTAGTGAGAAGATGAGTAACTTCACAGTGTGAAAACTGTTTCAGGCTTTGCCTGGTAATTTTGTTAGAAAATGCTAGACACCTGATACTGTTACCTATGTTCACTTAACCGAGTGCACTCATTACTTTCATACTGAAACTGAGCACTTGGAATTACAAACTTGATGAATGAGGACTGAAAACATGCTTACCACGGGTTGTAATGGGGCACCGGGCATCATGGCATTGGCTAGTTGCATTTGCTGGGCCAACATGGCCATGTTCTTCTGCTGAATCAAGTTATTGCGCCCATTTATCTCCAACTGTGTTTTTAAGTGTGGGGGTGGATGAAGATATTTGCAGTTCTCCCTGGAGCAACGACCCTAAAAAAACAAAAGCAGAAAATACCATTTAAAAAAGCTTAGACCAGCAAATCTTAAAAAATAAAAATAATGCAAACCTACCACCTGGATCTACCCTGGGTTTCTAACACACTGTACTGTCCATATCCATTTATCATACATTTAGAATAAGTAATGAATTCACCCAAATGCATTATCAAAGTGAAGTGTTAAGACATTTGAGAAAGTCTTAAAGCTTAAAGAAGTCCCCTTCTTTTAATATTAGCACTAATATTTCTAGGTCCAAGTTTAAAAATCTACCGACTGCCAGGGTAAGATTAAAATAAAGAATATGAAATGAAGAATAATATTAGCTCCTTCCAAATCTCCTGGTTAACTTTAATGAACCCAAAAGAAACATGAAGTTTTAGCATCTATTTTTACTTGTATTGAGTTCTAAGGAAATGAACTTAGAGGATTCAGGGCACACTGTGTCTTCAGTTAAGCACCTTTACAAGTATCTCGTAACAAATAAAATTAAATTACTACTAAGCTTTACAAACCCATATATTAAGAAATTTGCAGTGAAAAAAAGAAAATGCCCATATGTTCCCACTGTACATAGAGATTAGTAAGTATAATGAAACACCGGTGAAAACGTAGCCTTTAACCTTTCAAAGATAAATCTAGTCTCCATTGCCCAAGAGCTATAAAACAATAGGAAATAGACATATATACCCTCCAAAAGATTTATAATGTAAAATGGAGAAACAAAACATTAGAAAAAAGTAAGAAATGTGAATATACCCTTCCTTTCGGGATATTTGTTTTCATCAAAAACATATATTAAAGTCTGTAATATGAAATAGTGTATAAGGGATTTATTTCATATTATTTCAATACTATCATCATTCCACTGTTTCCATATTATTTCAATATGTTCTCAAGTCTTTATAATGAAAGGTCTTATCAATTATTACCTCGACAACTTCTTTCACCAATAAATCTAATTACAACTGTTTGGGAGGGTCAAAGAAAGATTCAGTTGAAGCCATCAACCACTTTTCCGGAGCTTTCTTTGATTTTTCTAAGAAAAACCCATTTGCCATCATTTGACCTTATACTGTAAACTGATGCGGCATGCTTGAGTTTGTGATAAAAATCTGGTCACAATCCTAATTTGAAAGATCTATTTCTGACTTGTTTTGATTCAGGTTTTTAGGAACAAGTTTCTGCAAAGGGCTAATATCATAGGATACTGCCTTTCATTTTAGCAAGCTTTATGTAATAAAGCATCACCAATAATGTTTTAAATCAGAAGGTGGCAGAAGACAGTAGTTGATACCAAGAAACTGACAGGTCCCAAGACCTAGGGTAGAGGCCTAGGTCTCCCATCAGCAGCAGGAACTGCATACAAAACTAACTTCTTTAAGTCTCAGGCCTTTTATCCATTTCAAAATTGCTATATAACCTACACCATACGTTTCTTATGAAGATCAGAGGAGATAATGTATATGTCATGCCCATGGCCCTGCACAGCACTCTGTGAGCAAGGTAAAGGTCAGGAGCTGCTATTTGCCACCACCCCCACCCCTTTAATCATATAGCCAACAAAAGAAAAACAAAATATCGGCATGAAGGTAATTTTTATAATATCTCTTAGTTATGCCTATTGATATGTTCACAAAGTAACATTTATATATTTATGACTTATTCCACAGGAAATCATGCTTGGTATCTGTTATTAGCTTGAAAGCATCCAGATGAAAAGTAACTTTTACCCAAAAACAACACTTAGAGTCACAGGAGAAACCACAGCGAACGCCTGGCCAACATAAATAAGTTCATGGCTAACACATGGTAAGATCTCAGGGCTACCCAGTTGAGGTGTCCTAGAGAAAACCTGCTTTCTCTCAGGACAAAGAACAATTTGGCTCTAAGAGAAATTCTGGTTCTCGGTATCACCACATCATTTTTCATACTAATACTGGATCTATTTAAGTGAAAATAAGCAAGATTATATCCCCCCCGAGGATTCGGTTACTGTCAATTCACTCAGATCAGTTTCTATAGCTCCATAAAATAGCACAGAGATAGCCCTAGGCCTTGAACTAGGCCTGGCCAACACTAACACTGATCTTCCTAAGCTCTTCATCCGAGTGCCTCCCGTCACACAAACCACCCAGCCCCTCCTCCCTATTAACACAGTTCAGATTGAAAAAATGGAGACAAATCATATTGCCCTATATACATTCTGTGTCAGATCATGTCAAACCTTTTAAGAGAAGCTCACATCTTTGGTTTTTGTTTTGTATTTATACTCACTCGGAAAAATGCCATTCTAATTTCTTACATATGCTACCTTTCTATACACAGCTTGGTTTAACTGCACTGAAACTTCACTTTCAAAAGCTATGTTCCTAAGAATCAACTGAGGATATTCGGTGAAAATATGCAGACGAGCAGGCCTCTTCTACAGTCTGTGGTGGTAGCTCTGGGGGGCCCAGGGATCTGCATTTTAATAGTATTCCAAGTTATTGCTATATCAGGCAAAAAAACACTACAAAAACACAATTCTGCAAAGCCACGTGAATTTTCCATCGACATGTGTGGGGAAAAAAACCAGAGTAGTCTCTGCAATTGACGTTAGATAAACTCAGCTTCCTAGGGAGTTCAAAATGTGTTTAATGCTGGCTATGCTGCTGAATAATTGTGGTTTGACAAATAAAAAGGTCAAGAAAAAGTTAGAATAAATATCCTTTTCTAGAGGACTGCCTAAAACTCTGGAGAAAATCACCAGGATATACTTTTCGTTAAGAGTTAAGGTGAACGTGCCGCTGGTACTCTCCATGTCCGTCCACAGTCTACACCTGAGGTCCCAGCACCATACCTCAATACGCATTTGCAAAATGAATGAATGAACACTTCTTAATAAGTCCTTAAAGATGAATTCTACTCTAACTCTGTTCTGGAGACTATGAAACTAATAGAATGAAAACTAACTCTAATACCAAACTTTGATTCTGAGCTGTACTAACTTAACGCTTTTATTCAGAGGCCAGTAATTTGAACACCCGATAAAGCTTGCCATAATAAAGGGAGGAAAGGTAACAGAAGGTTCATAAGTTTCACCAGGGATGAAACTAGATTTGTGTAGAGATGTGATGTATTTGGTGTCCTAAAATCTATACAGTGACAATACATTCCAAAAATCTAAGTACAGAAATTCAGTCAGATCTAGCGCTCACATATGCACATTTGTATAAAGGAACTATATTCTAAATCATCCAAAGATTTCACCTCAAGATATATTAAGTTGGGCTGCTAGGAGTAATGCTAAAATAGAAAGTAGTTTTTATTCAGTTTGGATTGCTCTATGCCATTCTACCTGTTACCATATAATTGTACATTCTATCCAACATAGCTCGGTTCGAATTGCAGAATAGCAGCTTTGTTATTTACTTGCTGTGTGACCGTGTAGGAGTTAAATTCTCTGAGTGGCCATACCTCTTCGGTAGAAAAGCAACACCACCACTGATTTCACTCGTGATGTATAAGGGTTGAGCAAGATAGTGCGCCAACTTCATTCATGGCTTCTGATATAAGAGGCTCTCAATAAGCTAATAACAAACAGCAGTTGCTTAATTTAGCTCTGTATCGGTTAAAAGTACTAAAAAAAAATGCAAAAAGGAAACCTGTGACAATGCATGCCACTCATTAATAATATAAGCTTGGCCCTTAATCATCATTCTGCATTTGCCACATCCACTACGGAAAATGCCATTCTAATACATTTCTTACAGTGTTATATTGCTGTGGTTTGCTTTTGTTGATTGTACTGACATTTCCTGTCAGTGAACTAGCCAGCTGACTAGCAGGCCACTCTATAGGGTCTATACCATAAATACCTTCGACGCCACTCAAAATGGTTTTTTATAGGTTAACTGAACACAGATTTCAAAAACATCACTGTAATGTACATACTATATATTTTAAGGGAATGGAGGAAGTTCAGTAAAGTATCAATTCAGACTAAGTCCATTTTTTTCCAATATTTTTTCTACCTTACTTTAAAAGTAATCTTTCCAAAAAAGTCAAAATTTTCCCCTTATAGTCTTAAAAGCCTGTATGAAACCAATCATGGTCATTCAAGAGATCAACTCATCAAGTCTCTAATTTCTGAAGTTATAAACTGTTCGACTGTGAATTTAAGGATTTTTCTCATCAGCTTTTGAAATGCGTACAAGTTTGTGATTATATGTTTAGATTAACTGTGTGAGCTTCAAAATAATTTTTACACACCTTAGTTTAGTAAAGTGCCTTTTTAAAATTTATTTTAAAATATTTTATTTATTTATTTGAGAGAGAGAGAAGGAGAAAATGAGCAGAGGGAAGGGGCAGAGGGAGAGGAAGAAGCAGGCCTCCCCACTGAGCAGGGAGCCCTACATGGGGCTCGATCCCAGCATCCTGGAATCATGACCTGAGCCAGAGGCAGACACTTAACCGACTGAGCCACCCGGGTGCCCCAGTGAAGTGTACTTTTAAATAATTAATAGTATGAGCATATACAGTGCATATCTAAAAATTATGTATATGTAAAAAAATAAAATAAAAAAATAAAAATTATGTGTATGTACATACAGTGTATGATGTATATAGTGAGATATAAATTGTAGAATAAAGACAAAACTGAATAGAACTACAGATGGCAATTTAGAGATATAAAAAAATGGTTGCTTAGCTATTTTTAGTATTTAACAAAAATCAAAAATGAAATATCTTCCTTAGAAATTGGTGAAACCTAATAAACTAAAAATTCAAAATTCTATTTGAAAATCAGACAAACTAATCTGCGGCATAAATAAAATAAAAGGCGCACTGTGATTATGAGGTCAGAATATAAAAAGACGTCTTATTAAGCTGCCAAACGGTAACTATGTGGTAGAATTAAAATTATTGGGTCATATTTGGGCAAACTCTGGAAATAAAGGGGCAATGAAAAAATTATAAGGGTACCAGCTTATACTCATAAGTCTTTTCCA